CCGGCAGCTCTAGCAACTGCACTGCCGGATATGGAAGCATTCAATGTCACTTTAAAATACAATTAAAAAAAATAGGAGTGGCATTACAATGCAAACATGTGTTGAGTAGGAATATATAAAAATGATATTCAAAAGAGCAATTCAAGTGAGTGAAGCCAGTTTGAACACATTATCTTTTAGGCTTGATTGAAAATAACACAGTCATGATAATGTGATATCATTACTGTTATATCATTGCTTACTATTCGTGGTTATCAGACACTTAAACAACAGAGAAGGTTTTAAGAAATAGGACTATACTGACAAATGACATATTATCCCGTCATTGTCTGTTCTGTAGGAAGGAGGAATATAACAGAGTGGGACTATACACTCAAAAACGGAAGTTTATTCCAATACGAAGATTGTGACAGATCTGAGAAACGTGTCCTTAAAACGAGCCTCCTCGCAATTGTATGCACATTATTTATTCAGCCGTTTGCTGTTTAATCTGATATATCGTTCAAAAGAGAGAAAAAAGCTTTGAAAAGGGTGAAAAAACGGCAAAAACTCAATACAGGCGATGACGTCACCTTTGCGCGTCCCCGCGAACAGGGCTTCAATCCACGGCAGGGCTTCAACCTACGGCATAACACCGGCTCCCGTCGTTCACTTAAAAGAGCCGGCTCTTTGAGCCGGCTCGTTCGCGACCGACACATCACTAGTCCCCAACCCGTCCCAACACATCAGCCGTTAGCACACACTCAGAGCTCACAGCTCCTCATATCTGTTCAGAAACTGGACAAAAGTTAAACCCACAGACTGTCTGTGTCATGGCGAATACAGTCGCTGCTTTATTTATGTCTGTATGACGTTGTTGTGAGTGTGGACGGAGCAGCTACAGGTTAGTTTAGCCTGATGGATCCGATTCCATTAAGAAAACACGCATTTTAAAAGCTTTTCGCCTGCCGTCTTGTTTGCAGACTTGTCAAAGCGTTAATTCATGGTTTTTACTAACCGTTATCAGTATGTAGTTGCTTCGGCATCACTTTGAAACATGTATTACAATTAAATCACGGTCAAATATGTTCATTTTGTTGTAGTTGGTATCTCCCAGCGCCGGTATCTCCCATAGCATTTACATGGAGATACGCCCCGCCCCCTCTCCAGCGCGTCTTGTTTGAATGACAGGAGCAAACACAGCTGACAGCCGCGGTGAAACTCGATTGATTAGAGCGATGCGAATATTGAGTAGTCTACCATAGTATTTACATGGAGATAAGCCCCTTAAAAACCATGAATTAATAAAGCATTAATTCTGTGTTTACTCCTGTCATTCAAACAAGACGCTGGAGAGGGGGCGGGCCGTATCTCCATGTAAATCCTATCGGAATCGGATCCATCAGGCTAAACTAACCTGTAGCTGCTCCGTCCACACTCACAACAACGTCATACAGACATAAATAAAGCAGCGACTGCATTCACCATGACATAGACAGTCTGTGTTTTGTATATGTTTAACTTTTGTCCAGTTTCTGAACAGATATGAGGAGCTGTGAGCTCTGAGTGTGTGCTAACAGCTAACGGCTGATGTGTTGGGCCAATCACGAAGCGTCATTTCTTGACTGGCAGCAAAAACAACCAATCACAGCAGTGCTTCTATGGCTGGCTCTGTCCAATCACAAACAAGAAGTGTTCTCCCTAAGGAATACCCTTTCCGTCCAATGTGAAATGCTGTGGTGTTTTGTGAAATGCTGTGGTGTTTTGTGAAATGCTGTGGTGTTTTGTGAAATGCTGTGGTGTTTTGTGAAATGCTGTTGTGTTTTGTGAAATGCTGTGGTGTTTTGTGAAATGCTGTGGTGTTTTGTGAAATGCTGTGGTGTTTTGTGAAATGCTGTGGTGTTTTGTGAAATGCTGTGGTGTTTTGTGAAATGCTGTGGTGTTTTGTGAAATGCTGTGGTGTTTTGTGAAATGCTGTTGTGTTTTGTGAAATGCTGTGGTGTCTTGCACTTCAGGGCCACCGTATAATCCTTTTTTTATTAAAATTACTTAGATTATTTTACTCACACATAGTCATTTGATCCATTGTTTAGATTACATTAGATTACGTTATTGTCATTACATAATGCAAGCAGAGTATAACGAATGACTTGTTCCATTAAAACCGGAGATATCATCAGTGTAGGGGTTATGTAGAAATGTTTCAACACTCTAAAAAACGATTCATGGGGTTAGTAGATTCCACTTAAAAATAAATACTTTTTCAACATAACATTTTTGTTTTTTACCTCAACTTTAGGGATATACTAAGTTAGAGTAACTCATATCTATTGAGTTTCAACAGTATAGTTTCAAAACTGAACACACGCTTGGACTCTGCTAGACCACATGTGGAGTTGGAGCAATCTGCATTCATCCTGAGATGAACACTTGGTAGCAGTGGAACAACAGGATTTTAACCTAATAATCTATGAAGTTACCTGGCAAGTAGCCATTTGTGTTCAGCTTAATTTACAAAAGCTGCTTACTGCATATACAGTGTGACACAAGCCATCATAGTCATTAGCTACTTGTTTTAAGCTACTGTAGCATACATAGCATACTGATAGCTAGCTGTTTGTATCCTCCTATATCCTTTGTTTCACAGTTGCAGTCAAAGTTAATTATTTGTAGTACAGTATGTATATATTTATATATAGCCTATGTATTTTTTTTCTTGTTAGAATTAACGTTACATTTGATATAAACTGATTTAAAATAAATATGAACAGCAACTGACAATGACCGGCATGTTCAGATCTTGCAAACCAAACCTTTGTTATTGTTTCTCAACATTAAAATGTTCTCCTTTTAAGGATGATTTGGTGGATAGAATAAAAGAGGTTGCTGGAGCTCCTTCTCCAACAGACTGCTGCAGCTCCGCGGTCACAAGGACCGATACAGGAACACATTCCTGCCCACTGCAATAACTCTGTACAATAAATCACCTCTGCTGGAAGAGAACTCTCTGCTCCATAGTTTCTCTTGGAATAATAAAACCACGTTTTACATTTTACATTTATATAATCTGTTCAATATTCAATATTTAATATTAATATTCCATGTCATATATTTATATATTTGTATATTTAATATCTTGTCAAATTCTACATGTATATTTTCTATTTCAACACGTATATTTTCTATTTTCTTTTCTTTTCTTTCTATTCTTGTTTATTTGTAGCTTTGTTTTATTGTAAAATGCCTGGTCTTTTATGCTGCTCCAACAAAAACAATTGACCAAATTGGGATCAATAAAGTACCATCTTATCTTATCTTATCCGTTGCTTGGTGGTGTGTCTTCGTGAAAAGGAGGATCTCTTCAGGGAGAACTTAAGTAAGTAAAGAAGATACTTAAATCAAACTGTAACTTGTGTTAACCTGAAACACAATGCAATGTTTTCAAATCTGATTGGACCAAAAACACAGAAATGTATTTTCCAGGATGGTGAAGTGGAAGTTAGCAGTGAGGTGCTGAAGATTGTCTTGACCAGGGGTGCGGATACAAGAAACGTATTGAAGGAACAGAAGTCCTTCAAATCTCGGATGCGACATGAGCCTGTGCGATGCTGATGGGGCTAATATACTCACTCAACCGAAGCTACCCAAAAGAGATGTTACAAACGTTGGAAGCAGGTTCCTGCCTTTATTTAAAGGTCCCATGTCATGGCCATTTCCACTGATCATAATTCCATCGTTGAGGTCGACTAGAATAGATTCACATTGTTCAATATTCCAAAATCACATTGGTTTCTCACATAGCATCTCTGTATAGTATGTGTATTCATTCTCTGTCCTACACGGCTTGTTGGAGCTCCTGCCCCCCCCTACATTTTTTGTATTTACTTTTATTTCATGTTTGAGAACATTTCTAATACTCAAACAAATTAAGGTAACAATTTGCATGGACATTTTTGAGTAATATGGACTTCAATAAATCAATGCCAATAGCTTAAATTAAACAAAATGCAATTTAATATCACTCCATCTTTACGATTAAAAATAAGTTGGTTCAACTTAATTTTTTTTTTTTAAAGGTGAAAGCAATTATGTTTGTAGTACTGAACTAATTGAGTTAATCAGATTATAAATGGGTACTCGGATGAATTTAATAATCGATTAAGTTGGAAATACTTAAAAAGATCAACGCAAATTGTTACCTCAATTTATTTAAGTAGAGCCAGTGTATCAAAAAGCTCCTCAAAAACGCTATCGAAGCAGTTCCTGCCGTTGCTACGTCAGTTCAAACAGTAACAACGGACTACTTTTCTTAGCGGATGCATGTCAATTTAAATCAATACATAAAACTATTTTTTAAATCAATAAAATCATTTTCTAAATCCATAAAAGCATTTCCATTAATATTGGGAGTCATGTCGTTACTTTGTTGAGAATGTGGCCGTGTAATAAGCGGGATAATGTGCACATTGCACATTGCATAATGTGCCTTCATGCCGATCTAGATCCCTCCGCAAAAATGGCTCGTTCGCGGACGAGAGCCGGCTCCCGTCGTTCACTTACACATTGTTGTACACAAATCTGTTGTTCCATACATTTTAAATGTATCTCTCACAGCAATATAACATCCTGTTGAAGTGTATTGCACAGCATTTGATTCTGCTTTTAAAAAAAATCTGGGTCACTTGATAGCAGTAGAACAAGCTCAGCAATTTGCAAAAACATAATTTGTTTCCCCAAAAAACAAAAGAGTAAGGTGGAGGTGAGACCTGCAGAAGTGGTCGTTAATGATCTGTGGGGCAGTCATCTATTGTTAATGTATAATGTAGGAAATATAGCCACACACAGCTTCCGTGCCTTAATGTCATACACATTCTTGAATAAAAGAATGACAGAACCTTTTACAGTTGTGGACGACTAAGGTGAAGCTACAGAAACATGTAAACCCTGATGTCAACAGGAATGTTTTAACTAGAGCGAATCACAGGACAATCAGACCACAGAGCCAATCAGAGCTGAGTTACCCGGGGTGAGGAGGATGACGGACATGGTGATGAGAGAGCAGACCACCAGGATGACCAGCAGGGCGATGGCAATGCCTTTCCAGTTCCTCTGTGGAGGAATACCCCCCCCCAGGTCCTGGAGAGCGAGAGAGAGATGGAGTTAGGGGGGAACAGGAAATACATATTGACGTGTTTTCATGATGAAAACAAAGACCTTCCAGCTGATCAGTATTTCAGTGGGGATATTTACACTGTTACAGCTAAAGTGACAAAGCAGTTAAAAGGTGAGCAATAAAAAAGTAGCTAACATGTTAAATATAGAGAAAAAGCACACATTAGTAATACAACAATACAAATAAAGACAAATTACTACTCATCCAAGGCTAAAAATGAGAAGCAGCATTTCAATAATTATGTGAACATATTATGGTTTGAGATCCTATAAAAAATATATTTTGCATAGAATTGCCCAAAATAAATAAATAACTGACTGCATGTTGTACAAAACGCACACAGTGGTGCTGCTCACTGTACATAATAACACGGGTCACATTGAATCTTTCCAATCCTACCCCCTTCATGGTGAAGGAATGGAGCGCTCTGCATGAGCCACACTGTAGGCCAGAACACTTGAAATTCAACAGAATGTGCAGAGTTCAATCACGGTCAACCTTTCCATTGAAGCACACCCTCTGACCTATGGAGACAAACACTTCCAGTTATTTGTTTGGGCAGATAAGCAAACATTTGCATTCCCGGCTCTGTCTCTCAGACTGGCTGCAGAGAGATTTGGCTGCAGCAATTTGAGTGGCCGTAGAGTTCAGAGAGTGAGATGTAATCTTCAGTGGAGAAGATATCCAGGAGAGTTTTGAAGCTGTGGCGTACCACTCCCTCTCTGAGTCCTGGAATCAGACGGCCTTAAAGCGGCTCACCACATCTGCTGCCCCTGATAAGAGGAATTAAGCCTCACACCCTATATATTATGTCTTCTCACCGCAGCTACTCCTGGCCTCAATTACCCACAAAACCCTGCAGGTGAAATACAGTGATCACTGACCACCAGCCCACGACTGCATCATGATTGGCTGGAGGGAAGGTGAAACAAAATGATTGCCAATTAGAGCTCGTTTCAGATTTTACAAAGAAGCTTCCATCTCAGACTTTTTCTGAAATCCATTTTCTTGGTACTTGACATGATGGTTTAGAGTTACTGTGTCCCTGTAATACCTATAACCAGATGTTGAAGAAGTACTCAGACCTTGTACTTAAGTAAAAGTAGAAGTAGCAGAGTGTAGGAATACTCTGTTACAAGTACAATTCCTGAATTCAAAATGTTCCTCAAGTGAAAGTAGAAAAGTATTCTCATCAAATTATAGTGAAAGTAGCAACAGTAAAAGTAGTCGTTGTTTGATTGGTCCATTTCAGAATCATATATATGATATGTTTTATAATGATTGATCATGAAAGTGTTCTCAAAGCTGGTAAAGGTGCAGCTAGTTTGAATGACTTTGTATACTGCAGGGTAGCTGGTGGATTTACTCCAGGTGGAACTAAAGTCTGATTTAACACTTGATAACCAGTGTTGTGCTAGTTACTGAAAACCAGTAACTAGTTACCATTACTAGTTACTTCATTTACAAAGTAACTCAGTTACTTTACTGATTACTTACAAGAAAAAGTAATGCGTTACTGTGAAAAGTAACGTTTCGTTACTTAGAAAAAGGGCTCCCATTAATGCCCTTATAGCCTTCATTTCAGTACTGTCAGTGCTGGAATTGGGCCGGTACTCACCGGTACGCAGTACCGGCACTTCTGGTTCTGACCCATGGAGTACCGGCACTTCTTGCTCAGTACCGGCATGCTGGCGGTACTCCGGTACTCATGCACCGTGCCAGTACTAAACACTCTCCCGCCGTTCTTATTATACATCCATATATATATATACAGCCGCCCGGTACTCAGTAGATGCGTCATGAGGTGCCGAACGGACATTCTTATCGCTCTAACCGCTGGAGTTTCACAGCGGCTGTCAGCTGTTTACTCCTGTCATTCAAACAGAACGTGCTGGAGAGGGGGCGGGGCTTATCTTCTCCATGTAAATACTGTGGTGGAAACGACTATGTCAAAATTAACCTATTTGACCGTGATTTAATAGTAATACACGTTTCAAAATAATAATAATAATAATGCCGAAGTAACAACATACTGAAAACTGTTAGTAAAACCATGTTTTAATGCTTTACAATTTACATACCTAGATGCACGTGTGTTGTGTTTATGCAGTTCAACTCCCACCCAGTGGGTGGCTATGTAGAGTGATAGAACAGAGCAGGCACGCCCCCGAGAGAAGGAAAGCAAGTCACGTCAAAAATTAGCATTTCTAAAATGTTAGCGTGGATTAATAAAAGTGCAAAAAGAGAGCGGTTGTCGCCGGAAGAAACTTCAAATACAGAGAATGCTGTGCCTGTGTTGGAAATTGTGTCTGATGGGGAGCTTTCTTTGGTTGATCCTCCTGCTCCAAGTTCTAGTGCATTAGCATTAGCACTAGCTCCGCCGCCTCCTCCAGAGCCTCTAACGTTAGCTGCTGCTGGCGCAACTGCCACCACCAACACCGGGCAAAGCGATGCACCTGACTGCTGGACAACGGACCAGGTGCAATATTTTTGCAAGACCAATGCATGGCTCCTTCTTAAAGATAAGAAGCTAGGATGTCGGATATGCAGAGATGTCAAATCTTTGGGAATACACACTGGACAAGGACTGAAACTGTCAACTGAATGGGGTGAGTGTGCAGTGTCTCATTTCGGTGTTGACAAGGGCAAACAACAAGCTAGCCTGAGAAAAAAAATCAAAGAACATAAAGAATCACAAGCCCATGTAAAAGCTGCTGACATCCTTACATCTGCTTCACGTGAAACTATTCAACATCAAGTGCAGTCTATGCATAAATCTGAATTAGACACCACTATCAGAGTTTTTCGAACGGCATATAAAATTGGCAAACATAGCCGGCCATTCACAGACATGCCAATTGATTTGAATGTACAGAAACTGAATGGGCTGAACGTGGGCAGGGTTTTGCACTCCAATAAAACCTGTGGCGAAATCATCGACCACATAGCTCATGAGCTGAAGAAAAAAATGGCAAAAGACATTACAGAAAACCAAAGAAAACTCTGTGTTTTGGTCGATGAATCTACCACTATTAGTGGTAAAACGGTGCTTGTTGTGTGTCTACGCTCAGCATTAGCTGATGCTGAGCCCGAAACGTTTTTTTGGGAGCTGATCGAGTTGGATGGAACAACGGCTGATGACATCACAAAGGCGTTAATGGAGTGTCTTGGAAGAGATTTTAACGAGGACTTTTTAGGTCAGTGTTTCATTTCTTTTGCATGTGATGGGGCTTCAGTCATGCTAGGGAAGAGAACAGGCGTTGCTACCCAGTTGTGTAGTAAATTCCCAAGCCTGTTTGTGTGGCACTGCTCCAATCATCGTCTAGAGCTGGCAGTTGGGGATGTGGTCAAGGAGGTCTCAGGGCTCAATCATTTCCAGATCTTTTTTGACAAACTCTATTCCTTGTTCCATGCCTCCCCCAAAAATCAGAGGCAGTTAGCGCAGTGTGCGCAAGCAGTCGGACAGCGTCTCCTGGTGATAGGGCGTGTTTTGTCCATCCGCTGGGTGGCTTCAAGTGAAAGGAGCGTCAGAGCAGTCTGGGAAAACTACCGAGTGCTTCATGATCACTTCACAAATGCTGCAAACGACACGAGCAGGGATTCCAGAGACAGAGCAAAGTACAAGGGCCTGGATGATGTGCTCACATCTGCAACGTTTGTCAGCAATCTGGGACTGATGTACGATGCGCTCACAGAGCTCAGCGACCTCTCTCGGCAACTCCAAAAAAGAGAGATGACACTGCCTACAGCAGATAGGCTCTTAACTCGAGAAATACGAGTTTTTGAATCCATGGTCACCATGCCTGGCCCACACATGACTACAGTTCATACAGCTCTAGCTGAGAAGTCCTTCAAGGGTGTTGCCCTGCGTGAGAATGGCAGGCTTGTACAGATTCATGCAGGTCAGTTTTTCCGCAGTATGGTAGAGAATCTGAGACACAGAATGACTTCCACAACCTCCTCTCATGTCAGCACAAGAGAAATCCCATTACATGGCCGGGAGACCCGGGACAATCAGCTAATCCAGGACATGAAAGTTATCCATCCTGGAAGTTGGCCTGAAGAGGAGTTAGACGTACAGTATGGGGACGTAGAGGTGCTACGTTTGTGCGAAGTGCTGAAAGTGGACAGAAGAGAGACTGTTCAGGGCTTTCGCGAATACAAGGAAACCAGGGCATCCCGTACACCTGCTGCCATGGAGCCTCTACTGAAAGCAGTCCGAACCATCGCTGTCTCCACTAGTGAGTGTGAGCGGGCATTCAGCTGCATGAACGATATCCTTACTGCAAAAAGGAATGCTCTCTCTGTCAGCCGACTGTCCAGCCTGGTTTTCATTAAATGTAATGGACCATCACTAGGACAGTTCAATCCGGAACAGTATGTGAGGTCCTGGCTGGCAAAGGGAAGGAGAAGTGCTGATGAAAGAGCCTGTCCAGCTCCAGCCCCTGATACTGATGTCCCCAAGGCCTTCTGGAGCCTTTTCTAACAATGTGAAGTATATTGCAAAGCAGCTCACCCAGTGAGAAGACTTTTGGCATAATGTGCCGATTTGTACAGATCCTGGAGATAGAAGGACTTCAGACCAACCAGGGAGTTATCTGATCAGCTTGGTGTTCAATGTAACTCTTTACCATGGCTCAGACTTTGTTACCTGCAGTTACAGTTTCTCATTTTAGATTGTGCAAATTTTGCATTTGTTTTTACATGTTCTTTGTTCATGCTCTTTATCATTTTTCTGAGTTGGAAAGTTAGATTGCATCATAGTTTACTTTATACATATTTGTATTCTTCAGTGGTGAAGTATATTGCAAAGCAGCTCAGCCATGTGAGAAGACTTTTGGCACTTTTTCGTTTTTCGTTTTCTGAGTTGGAAAGTTAGATTGCATTCAAAATGTACAGAAATACTTAATTTTGTTAAAGCTTTTTATAAAAAATGCTTCTGACCAGAGCTTTGTTTCCTTGT